AAAAAAAAAAATTTTTGCTAAGATATCAAATCTGTGTCTTAATAGCTTTTTGGCGTACAATAGAAATGAACAATTGATAACGCGAACTCCACTATCCAGACTTCAACTACAAGATCAATTAACAGTAATGACAACAAAATTAACCCATCTGTTAAACCCTCAACGGATACTCGTAAAAGTCTGGGAATAACATAGGAATTTTAGAAGTATCAAGAAAGGAGACAAATGCTATAGCATGGCCGAAGTAAACAAACAAAATTATTCAAGTGAGACTACTATCGCAAACTTAAAAGCAGCATCAATACATCCAGAAGCTTCTTCACGGCTTACCATTACTAAAGTAGAAACTAATATGAGATGACCTGCAGAGGCGTACGTTACAGGCTTTTTAAAGGTATGCCTACCGTCCACAGACGTCTTTATTTTCTTCAACCTGTGAACAGAGAGAGCAACAATAGACACAAACCAGCTTAAGTATCAAATTAAACTCAGTTGCAGTGGTAATAGCCGAGAGGCTAATTCAATCAGCAGTAATAGTTCAGAGCCTCTGCCTTTCTTTTCACACTTTCGCAAAATTTACCTCTCTACTTCTTTTGATTTTTGTTCTAATGGCGACTACGCTAATCTCAAATTTAGCAAAAACATTGGCAAAGCCCTCCTAATTAAAAGACTCTTACGATAAAGAACTTTTCAAGTGGTAGAAAAGCCATTGCTCCCACCGATTGCGCGTAAAAAAGCATGATAATAACAGGTAAAAAATCGATCAGTGACCAACTATCATTTTAAAGGATTTTTAACATATCCTAGATCTTTCTTCCATATTGAAAGCTATGAAAAATTTCAAAACCAGATTGCAACGAGGAATTAATTACTGCTAGAGGCCGAAAAAGCAGTGTGTTACAGAATAAATAGATAAGGAAAATTCCAGTAGAGTAATCTAGAACACTAAAGTAACGTAAGAAGTGAAACCTGAAGTACCTGTTTGGAGTCTCATTCCTTTTTACAGTCAAAGTTGCTTGAGCATTTTGTAGTCGAACGCGAGAACTGCCTATTTTATCAGAAGGAAGCCTGAACAAAAAAAAAAAATCAACTTTTCATGTCCCCTTTAACAACATTATATCTATTACACCATCTATATTTTATCTTTAAAAAAAATAATAATTCATTTCAGAATTATACCTCAACGATGATGTCGAGCCGGACTGATATCGTTGCATCGTGTTCTGTAATTTCTGTTTACATTCAAAAAATTTTTATACCCAGACGAACAATGAAATTGTAACAGAAATTTTTGGGTCACA